TCACATCCCCCCTTCAGGATTTTTATTAGCCTTACATTCTTTAAAAATTAGAAGTAACCTTGTGCTCCAGCTATGAAAAATACAATGTTCTATCCACTTCCTTCCTCCAGTTCTTCATTATTTCCCCGCTATTTTCTTGTTTCTTTGTCTTGTTCTCATTCATTTTTCATGTCCCTTACCCTTCTCTCAAAAGCTGGACAGCGGCCTGTGGAAGAGTTTGAGCTGTGCCTTCCTGATGGAGATGTGACTGTTCACGGAGCTGTAGGAGCTACTGAACTTACAAATACAGCAAAGACAGGTGGGAATCAGTGTAGCTGAGGTAGAATGGATTTCAACTGATCCACGAGTATGGCTTGGCATCCACCAGTAGTTAACTGTGGTTGAACAGATATCATTCTGCAGTTAACCTTTTAAACTGCTGTTCTGTAACATCATAAATCTTTCTGAGGTTACCTCTATTTCAATTAGGTATGCCTTGTGAATAGTTCAGACATTTAGCATTGAACCCACAAAGTTGATTGCTTCTCTCCCGATGATTGAACTGTGAATGAGGTACTTTTTCATTCAAATAGAAGTAAACTTTAGAGTGGCTTTATAAAGTTATTATAAAGCACTTTTAAATAGAGTTCATATAGACTACTTCCTTCTGTGCCCTCCACCACCTGAGTTTTCAACGTGCATGTCTTTCCTGTGTTCTAGCAATAACCCTTTAACTAAAAAAAATATAAGGCACATGGAATCAGTTAGGGTATGTCTACACTAGCCCCCTAGTTCGAACTAGGGAGGCTAATGAGGGTGACCGAAATTGCAAATGAAGTGCGAGATTTAAATATCCCACGCTTCATTAGCATGTTCCCGGGCGGTTGCCATTTTGGAAATTGACTAGCCCGGAATAACTTCCCGCGTCCACACGCGGTAGTGAAACGGGAGTTCGAAGTAAAGCCCTTAATTCGAATTAGCTGTTAAACCTCATTCCAGGAGGAATAACAGCTAATTCGAGTTAGGGCTTTACTTCGAACTCCCGTTTCACTGCCGTGTGTAGACGCAGGAAGTTATTCCAGGCTAGTCAATTTCCAAAATGGCAACCGCCCGGGAACATGCTAATGAAGCGCGGGATATTTAAATCTCGCACTTCATTTGCAATTTCAGTCACCTGCATTAGCCTCCCTAGTTCGAACTAGGGGGCTAGTGTAGACATACCCTTAGACGCTACTGATTATGTATATATGGAATTGAACTGACTTAAAGATCATATCTCTTTTCGGGTTAATATTATAGAGTACAGAGTTCAGCTATCAATAGTAAGAACATTACTGTTTCTTAATACAGGTTATTGAAAAAACGTTTAAAGAAAAGAGACTGTCTTCTTGTGTTGCTTAAGCCCTGATCACATGCCCTGCTCCTACCAAGACAGACATGGAAGAGATCACGGAGGGTACGTCTACACTGCAAGCTAAAGTAAAGATACACAACTTGAGCTGCGTTAATTGCGTAGCTGAAGTCGAAATATCTTATTTCAGCTTTTGGCGCTGTCTACACAGCAGGAAGTCAAAGGAAGAACACTCTTCCTTCGACTTCCCTTACTCCTTGTGAAATGAGGGTTACCATGAGTCGGAGTAAGAAGCCTATTATTTTGAAATTACGCTTGCTGTGTAGATGCGCACTCTGTTATTTCAGAATAAGTGTGCAGTGTAGACATAGCCTTAGTGACTTGCTTAGGGGAAGCATACACTGTGGAATAGTGCAGAAATACTTATCAGGGATTGCTTCAGTCGTCATAGGACTTTTTTTTAAAAAGGACCTTCTCTGTTGTAGCTGACATTTCGCTTCCTCTCTGAATAAAAGGTGATAGTTAATCTTTACTTAGACAGAAAGATGGAAACCATACGCACAATGCTATCTTAAGCTTTAGTAGCTAGTCTGCAGTACCTGGAATGGAAAAGCCCATCTTTACTGATAGTATAAATTGTAGCAGTAAAAATCCTGTTATGGTGACATCCTTGCTGACAAAGATGAAGGATGCTAATTTAAGCCAGGTGAAATAGTTCCATGTGCTCATCCCAATTTTGTTCTATCTGTGTAACACCTTAGATGTGCCATATATACTAAAGGTGGAGTCTCAGCCACACACCACATGCTGGCCTGGTAGGACGCTCTACTTACTAGCACCTACTTTCCCTGATAAGCAGCACTGGGTCACTGCTTTGGAGTCAATAGTGGCAGGAGGGAGAGTTTCCAGGGAAAAAGCTGAGGCTGATGCTGTAAGTAAAAATAGATTTCATTACATATTCATGGAGGGAACCATTTTGAAATATTTTTTTCTTAGTATCAGATGTGCTGAGTTTGAAATGAAGTTAAACTAGTTAATATTATTTGTCATTAATGTCATGTAATAGGAATACTGTGAACCATGGTTTACAATGAGATTGATGCCTTCTTTCAGATCCAAAAGAGCAAATCTCAGAAAAAGGCTTATTTTTTTTCTCCTCTTTGTGATTTGTTAGCTGTTTATTCCTGACAAAAATAGCAAGTGGTCTCACTACTGTTTCATTTAGAACAAGCCTGAAACTCTATAACTCTTCCTGATACAGGGAGATTGTGCTTTTTGGCATCGTAGATTCAAATTTAGGGTACAGAGACAATGGAAGTCTGACTAGCAGCAGTAGTCCAGGATATTAATTAGAACTCTCTTAACTTCCCAAATGTTACATTGATTGGCAGTCTTTCTTTGGGAAGTTTCAATTTAGTTTTTCTAACCACTTTGTGGGGACTGACACACACCGGGATTTCTTAAATTCTATCACTTCTCAAAAGTTCCCCATTCAAGTAAGTGTTGGCATGACTATGTTTCATGAAGGGACTTCAGTGCCACTCCGTAATGAGCTAGTATATGAACCTTCTGCTAACCTCTGTATTACTAATAGACTGATGTAACTGTCTTAGAACCTCCTTTCTGCTTGTGCTCAAATAGAGACATGCATGTTTGTGCCCTCAGTTTCATAATAGCTGTATCTTGGCATCTCACAGCTTATTCATTTTTGCCAGTAGGATCCCAACAGGTTTGAGAGACATTTCATGTTGCTTAACTCTACTTTTCCACTGCTGAATGCTGTGCGTCAGCAGATGCTTGCAGTTCAGATAGTGATACGTTATTTAGTGTTAGTTACAATCCATGCAGCATGAGTCTGGAGGCAATAATGTGCGTTAAAGTTTTGAGATGTGCTTGTACATGCTAGCTCTTCTGAATAAGGAAAATGCAGGTTGCTGTGAGTCAGTGCTAAACCTTGTCTAAGTGTTTGATTTGTGTTTGCCTAGTTAATCATACTGAATTTTCTTTTTGTCACTTACAGAAGCTGCTTGGAAATTCTCTGTTGAAGCTTGAGGGGGAAGACCGTTTGGATATAAATTGCACAATGCCCTTCAGTGACCAGGTGATGACATTTGTGCACAACACTCAAACTGGTCACTGTATACCTTGCATGAATGGACTACGTGTAGCCAGACTTTTAAATAGGAATCTGTTGCCTTTTGTACCTGGTGGTTGGGTTCCATTTGCTATTGGCTGGTATTGTGCATGAGTTAAATTTAGTCCTGGAGCATTTCTGTGTTCTTCTTATACAGTGCTGACTATTCAATTTTTGTCTTTATAGGTTGTACTTGTTGGTACAGAGGAAGGTCTCTATGCCCTGAATGTGTTGAAAAATTCCTTAACATGCATTCCAGGACTGGGTGCTGTTTTCCAAATTCACCTCATAAAGGATCTGGATAAGCTGCTTATGATAGCAGGTATGATGGTAGGAAGATGGCAGCTTCTGGCTTTTGAGGAAGTTTTCAGATAAATGTTCGAGACTGTGAAGGTTAATGGGAAACTCTGTACAGCATGAAGTCAGTGGAACTTACTTTCCCTGGGTTCTGCTCTACTTCCTATGTATAGCTTTTCTGTGGTGCTTATCAGAGTATCATCTTAGATTCTCATGTACACTAATGAATGAAGTAATGTTCACAGTATCTCTGCACATGCTCTCTGTTTTTACCTAAGTTTCTAAAGTTAGGGTTCTTAATCTATATTTAGCACCTAAATAAAAGCATTCTGATTATCAGAACCACCATAATGCTGGTTCAGTGCTGTCATTGGAATCAGCCATAAACATTTTTTGATTCCCACACCTCTCCTGGACTACTCTGGTCTGTACAGGGGAGAGGAGCCATTCTCTTACGCTCAGGCAGAGCCAATCAAGATCCTGTCCTGCTGTTTCTGAGGCATCCACAGTTTAGGAGAGGGAAGAGAACAATGGAACAGAGAGAGCAGCTCTCCTTTTCCTTCCCTCCCATGCAGCAACAGAAATCTGCTGAGCACCAGAATCAGAGAGGGAACAGCAGCTGCAAAGCGTGCCCCTAGTGTGTTAATGGAGTTGCTCTGGAGCAGGGGTGGGCAAAGGTCCTGTCCTGCTGTTTCTGAGGCATCCACAGTTTAGGAGAGGGAAGAGAACAATGGAACAGAGAGAGCAGCTCTCCTTTTCCTTCCCTCCCATGCAGCAACAGAAATCTGCTGAGCACCAGAATCAGAGAGGGAACAGCAGCTGCAAAGCGTGCCCCTAGTGTGTTAATGGAGTTGCTCTGGAGCAGGGGTGGGCAAAGGGCCCTCCGTGGGCAGGATCTGGACTGCCAAGCTGGTGGATCTGGCGCACAGCCACCCTGACGCTCCCCTGCCCCCACGCCAATCAGGGCTTGAGGAGTGGGAGTGCACGTGTGTCTCTAGCCACCACATGCTCCCCTGCCCCCTGATTGGCTTGGGGGTGGAGGAGTGGCAGGGGGGCGGGGG